CCCCAATAGCTTCTTCACAGCTAGATGAAGCTTGCAGCCTGGTGGTTTCTACCGACCAACCTGACAGCCTATCTCTGAGTAACGAGCGAGCTTTCCTCTTGGTAATTGGTCCTGACTGGTTACAAGTAACCCAGGTATGCCACAACTTCTGACATAACTTGACGCACTATTTCAGTGCCAAATGGAAGGATGTTGTGGGAAAGGTGGAAGAGTACTGTCCCCCATCCCTCCAAGGCCAGTGACAACCCTGGACATCAGATATAAAACAACATAAGGAGATTCTAAAAGAGGGGCTCGGAACCAGAAGCAAAACACAGCTCTGTGAGTCCCATGGGTTTTCCTTTCACTTCCTCTATCCTAGGCTGGGTTCTGAGGAAGCTGGTAACCCAGAAATGTACAAGCCTAGACGAAAATAAAGGCTCAAGGAAAGCCTGCTCTTTGCAGCCAACAGACTAGGAAATGAGCGGCTATGCAAGACAGAAAACTTTTACATGTAACCACCCTACTCTAGCCAAAGACCATAGGAGAAAGCATTAACACCACCAAAGACCGAGTGGTGGCCTACACTTCCACACTCACTGCGCTGTAACACCCACTCCCTGTGGACTCAGAGAAGGTCGAGTGAGGAGGCCTGCCTGAACAGAAGATTAGACATGATAGAGTCTCATAATATAAAACCTCAAATGCCCAGATTTCAAGTGAAAATTACTCATCACACCAAGAACCAAGAAAATCTCAGCTTGAATGAGAAGAAAATCCATAGATGCCAACCCTGAGGTGACTCAGAATGACCTGTTAGAGTAAAGCAGCCATCATAAAAATGCCTGTGAGCAATGATAAACACACTTGTCACAAATTTAAAAACAGTCTCAGCAAAGAAACAGACTGCAGAGAGAATCAAATGGAACTGAAAACACAATAACTGGAATAAAACCTGATGACAGGCTCTACAGCAGAGTGGAAGGGATAGAAGACAGAATCAGTGAACTTGGAGACCAAAAAATGGAAAATAGCCAACCAGAATGAGAGAGAAAATTGCTATGGACTGAATTGTGCCCCCCACCCCCAATTCATATGCTGAAGCCCTAACTCCCAGTGACTGTATTTAGAGACAGGGCTTTTGGAAGGTAAATAAGGTTAAAAAAGGTCGTGTCTGTAGGGTCATAATCGGATAGGGTTGGAGCCTCATCAGATGATGGAGGTGTGTGTGTGTGTGTGTGTGTGTGTGTGTGTGTGTGTGTGTGTGTGTGTGTGTCTGCACTCATGCACTGAAGAAAGGCTAAGAGGACACAGCAAGAAGGTGGACAGGAAGAGGGTCCTTACAATCAATCAAATTGCCTGGTACCTCAACCTGTCTTCCGGCCTCCAGAACTGAGAGAAACAAATTTCCGTTGTTTGAGCCCCATCTGTGGTATTTGGCAATGGCGTCTCGAGTAAACTGAGAAAAATTTTAATGCTGAGACGTGGGGTGCAGCTGTAACAAACAACTGAATATGTGAGACAGGCTCTGCAATGGGGCCAAGTGTAGAGGCTGGCTGGCTGTGAGGTGTGTGCTAGAAACATACACATTAAAAACCATTCTGGTGAGGTATCGGGAGGCAATGAGGACATGCTACTGGAAACAGGAAGCAAGGCGAGCCTTGTAGAATGGCAGTGGATTTGGCTGAACTGTGTCCCAATATTTGGGGAGGGAGAATTTGTGAGATATGAAACTAGACATCCAGCTGAGACTTCTAGGCAAAGTACTGATGGTGCAGCTTGTGTCCTCACCACTTGGGGTAAAGTGTGAGAGATGAACCGAAGAAGGACTTGTTAAGCAAAAAGGAAACAGAATTTGGAGACTTGGAAAATCCCATCCATCCATATTACACAGGCCAACAAGACAGCTTTGTTCTGCACACTGAGGCCCTGGCTGAATAAGCACGTGATGAAGACACCATGGGTATGACTCAGGGACTCAGCCATCTCAGCAGAAGCCAGGAATAGATGGGCTTATACCAGCAGAAACACCACAAACTGGGGCTGAAAGGGATAGTAAATACTGGACAGAATGAAGGCAGGCTGCCAGACTTGGTCACACAGGACCAGACATTCGAGCTGTTTGGGTGCAAATACACACTGCTTCAAGAAAAAGGAAGAGTGACTGAGTCCATTCAGAGCTCAGCAGCCTGTATCCTCAGTTTCAAAGGGTGGGAATGTCCCCTCAGTGTCAACAGACCAGATAGCCTCAGAATGAAGCTTTGTGGGGCAGGGCTGCTGCATCAGTGGGTCATGACAGTAGGGTGTCAGGCTGAAGAGGACTGCTCTGCAGCCATAAGATCTGATGGAATGTGCCTCATAGAGTTTTGGACTTGCTTAGGACCTGTCACCCCTTCCTCCCTTCCTTCCTACTGCTCCCCCAGAATGGGAATGTCTGTCTGGTGCCCGCTCTGCTATCATGTGTTGGAAGTACATAACTTATCTCGTTTCATAAGTTCACAGCTGGAGAGGAATCTGCCTCAGAAGGTATTTTACCTCAAATCTCACCCATTTCTGATTGACATGATATTGGAAGAGACTTTAGGCTTTAGGTTTGACTTTGAAATAAGTTAAGACTTTTGGGGGTTGTTGAATGGAACAGATGTATTTTGCATGTAAGAAGAACATGAATTTCGGGAAGCCAGGGGCAAAATACTGTGGACTGAATTGTACCCAAAATTCATATGTTGAAGTGCTACCTCCAAACGTGACTATATTTGGAGAGATGGCCATTTAGATGTAATTAAGGTTAAACAAAGTCATAAGAATGGGGTCCTAATCTGATAAGACCTTTGAATAGAGGAAAAAAATCTCTTCTCTCCTCTCTCTCTCTCACTACCCTCCACCCGCTTTCCACATATACACCAGGTAAAGGCCATGGAGGACACAGCAAGAAGGCAGCCTCTGCAAGCCAGGAACAGAGGCCTCAGCAGAGACCAAAGCCGACACCTTGCTCTTAGACTTCCAGCCTCTAGAACTGTGAGAAATGGATTTGTTGTTTGGACCACCCAGTCTATGATGTTTCATATGGCAGCTTGAGCTGACTAAGACAAAAATATACTGGGGTGGGGGGGAGGGGGAGAACAGAGCACCTCAGGAACCTGTGGAATCACAACCAAAGACCAAACTTTTGTGTCATCGGTATCCTGGAAGGAGAGAAAGGTGGGAGTGGGGTCTAGAAATGTATTCCAAGAAATGATGGCCGAAAATTCTCCAAATTTGGCAAAAGGCATAAATTGATGGTTTCAAAAAGCTAAGCAAACAGAATAAATTTAAAGAAATCCACACAAAGACACATCTTAGTCAAACGTGGACTCTCAACACAGAGCACAGGTTATTTTGTTCCCAAAATAACCTTAAAAGTTTCACTGAAAAGAATATACATATACAAAGATGTCATCTGCTCCTACCCAAGAGTAAAATGGTGAAAAGCATGTATTTAAGGTCTTTTCATTTTCTACAACCTACTATGCAGTGTCAGTTCAGGTCTACCACTAAATGTTACTACGGTATAAAAAAGTCTAAGGTACAAACTACATACAACAGAAGAAAGTCTTCATAAATACGTGCACTGTTGGGTAACTAAAACAGATGAAAAACGTCAAAAGTCCCTCTGAACTCCCCCTTTACAGGCTGCAAGTCTGACCCTGGGAGGCCACATGATTCCCAGTAGGAGATATCTCAGTAAGCAAGGTCTCAAAGGCACGAAGTGCAGATGCGAACTGCCAGGCCAACATTCCCTGGCTTCGAGGAAATCTGCCCTCGTGGAAACTTTGCAACTGACCAACTCGTTAAGTCTCTACTTTTCTTGGGTCTGAAGACTCCCTGGAGCAGTTGCCTCAATCGCCATCTCTTGAGTTTGTTCCCCTAGCTCTCTTTCCATCCTTTCCATCTACCTCCTTCATGGCCTTGTGCTCAAGACTAAAGGCAACTTCCCTTTCTCCGCCACTCCTGACCCTGGCAAGGTCATCATGAATTCTCAATCTCTTATTTGCATCCCTGAAATTCCCCTAAAAAACCACTGATCTCTTTTAAATCCCATCCTCTTGGAATGATGAGGCTGCCTAGCCCAATCGAGATGCCCTCTTTCTGCTATGGCATACCGTATTTGTCTCTCAAGGATTTGGTAGCTTACATACACATTAGGGTGTTGGAAATCATTTTCCTTTATCTCCTGGGAAATTCATAATGTCCTCCATCCATCAGGACAATTCAAAGAATGTAAAACCCTTCTTTCACATTCTAAGTAAGCTCTGTCCCATATCAACAAAGACTTCTCATGAACACCTTTTTTGTAACAGTCTTAAATTTCTTTGTAGCCCTCACAGCATAAGTAGTAAATGTTCCATAAATATGTTCTGAATGTACCATATTTACAGTCTTTATCCAGTATGGATTCTCTTTTGTTGGCCAAAGGCTGAACGCTCACTAAAAGCTTTTCCATATTCTTTGGCTTTCCCTCTAGCGTGAGTTTTCTGGTGCTTTGTGAGGGATGAGCTCTGGCTGAAGGCTTTCCCACACTCCTCACACATGTAAGGCTTCCCTCCAGTGTGAGTTTTCTGGTGGTGAGAAAGGGACGAGTTCTGGCTGAAGGCTTTCCCACATTCCTCACACATGTAAGGCTTCCCTACAGTGTGAGTTTTTTGGTGCTTTGTGAGGGATGAGCTCTGGCTGAAGGCTTTCCCACACTCCCCACACTTGTAAGGCTTCTCTCCAGTGTGTGTCCTTTGATGGCGGATAAGGGCTGAACGGTCACTGAAGGCTTTGGCACAGTCACTGCATTGATAGGGCTTCTCCCCCGTGTGAGTTCTTTGGTGCTGAGTCAGGGCCGAGCAGTAGCCAAAGGCTTTCCCACACTCGGTGCACTCATAGGGCCTCTCCCCAGTGTGAGTTCTCTGGTGCTGGATGAGGCCTGATCGATCACTAAAAGCTTTCCCACATTCGTTACACTTGTAGGGTTTCTCTCCAGTATGAATGACCTGGTGCTGGGTAAGGAAAGTGCTCTGGCTGAAGGCCTTCCCACATTCGGGACACTCGTAAGGTTTCTCTCCAGTATGAATTCGCTGGTGTTGAGTGAGGTATGAGCTCTGGTTGAAGGCCTTACCGCACTCACTGCATTCATAGGGTTTCTCTCCAGTGTGAATTATGTGATGCCGAATAAGGGCCGAGCGGTGGCTGAAGGCTCTCTCACACTCGTGACACTTGTAGGGTTTCTCTCCGGTGTGAATCCTCTGGTGCAGAGTCAAGTGTATGCTCTGGCTGAAGGCTTTGCCACACTCGTGACACTCATAGGGCTTCTCTCCTGTATGAATCCTCTGATGCAGGACAAAAGCTGAGTAGTAACTGAAGGCCTTTTCACACTCAATACACTTCCAAGGTTTCTCTCCGGCACAAATTCGCTCATGCCTCACTAGATCTGAATTCTGCTTTAGGTTCTTTTTAAATGAATCACAATTACGGAGTCTCTCTCCTTGTTGTTGAACAAGTAATGACCTCCGTCTAAAATTTCTTCCAAATTCATCACACTGGTAACTTCTCTCCCCAGAAGATTTTTTCAGAGTGACAACTTCTTGTACTAAATGTTTCTCATGGTTTTCCTGCTCACTCTCTAAAGAATCCTCACATCCACTGGCCCCTTCCTTTGGAAATCTTTCTATTAACATTCCAGGGGTTGACTCTTCTTCAGAAACATCCTGCTCTGGGGTTAGCTCCTTGCTCTCTGGTCTTGTCTCCCAGTCTGATAGAAACAACAAAAACGCACATGTATTACTTCCTACACTGAGAGTAAAGTAATTGATGTGGTAGGAAAATAATGAAACAAAGAAACAAAAAAAGCTTACCGGGAACACATTAACTTGAAAGCTGTCAAAACAGCCTTGGAATTTGAGAGAACATGACAACAGAAAGATGACTAGACAAAGAAGTACAGCTGATACAGGGGGAGGGTGAGCAGGCACTCACGATTCCTCTGTCCAGCCAGGTGGGAAATGGGAAAGAATAACGGACCAAGACTAAGCAGAAGAGATGTGGGGAAATGGCAGGTAAAAGAGTTTGGGAGGCAGGGCTGGGATCAGAGAAAGATGGTTTTCCAGGGACCGCCTACTGCCACCACCCACCAGAGCCTTGTCACTTCACACCTTGACAATGAGCAGTGTTAGCGCATTCCTGACCACCAATATTTTCCTGTTCCAAAATGTCCCAATCACTGCTAACAGACTAACCTTCCAAAACGACCCCTCTTACACAAAAATCTCTGTTGGTTCCACTGCCTTGAGATGAGACACCAATTTCAGAAGCTAGCATTCAAATCATCATGAAGCTTAGTAATTACATAGCAGCTGATCATCACTGACTGCCCTACGCCCGACAAACTGGAAAGAGTAGAACAGAACCAAGTTTGTTTCTTTTAAATGAGTAGGGGATACCTGCCTCCCAAATCCTAAGCTTCCTAGTAACAGTTTGGGGAGAAAAGGTTCATTGCTAAAAATGTTTAAATATTTCCAGACTTAAATGGTCTTTAATATTCATTCCGAGCATGATGCTACATGAAATAAATGAATACTATCCAATGTTCTCAACTACACATCATAATCAGGGAAGTGCCTGGGATTTTAAAGGACACATAGGTAGAAATAGGTTAAAGACAAATGGACCTTCAGCTAAAGAGAGTGGAAGAAACAAAAGCCTCAAAGACACTTGCCTGTCTGGTGTTAAGGGTTCAAACTGGAGAACAGAGAAGGTCTAACAGTTAGGCAAGTAGACTATTTAAGGCCTTGGAAGAAGGTAGAGAAATACACAACTGGCAGAGTAGGCAACTCGCTGTAGGGAATCCAGCATACTCTGCTGCCTCAGTTGGACAAGATTAAACTAAAGACAATCTAATCATCTGGGAGCCTATTGTGGTAATTCAGTCTGACAGAAGTGACAATGACAAATCCACAACATCTTTCAAAATGTTATGACCAGGACATAATCAACAGACACCATCTGGTTAGCACAGAGCCAGCTACTGTTCTCAACATTTCTCTTAGATTTTTTTCATTTGATCCTTGTAACAACCCTATGAGTTAAGTGCTCTCATTATCGCCATTTACAGTTGGGGAATCTGGGTCACACAGAGGATTATTCACTTGTTAAAGGGGCCAAGAGCTAGTGAGTGGCTGAGACTGGCTTTGAACCCAGGAAGATTGGAGCCCAAGTCTGCGCTCGTAACCACATGCTACACTGCCTCTGTTTAGACAGAGAAGAAAACTGGGAAAATGCAGATATCCATTTATAGTCATCACTCCGAGACAGAAAGGAATATTCTGCACAGATCAAGGAACATACACGAAATGGCCTGGTTTCAAGCCTTGCACCCAAGCAAATAACTAACAAACATTAAAATATTGACTTCATTTCACATTATTGGGGGTGGAAAGTGTTTACTTTCTAAGACATAAAATTATGAATTTATAGCAGATCATTACCCACAGAGGGGGAGTGTGGCACGGAAGGGACTTTGACTTTTCCCTGGGCCTAGCAAAATCTGGAAAGGCTTCCCAAGCATTTCAAAGGCACTTTTCCCAGTGCTCACCTGGGTTATGTCCCATTTCCACCACTGGCTCACCTGGACTAGTTGCTTTCGGGACTTTTCTCTCCAGCTCCTCCCCATGCTCCACCTGAGAGATTACACCAGGCTTGGAAATCGGCAGCCCTGTTCATGGGGAAAAAAAAGGGGTCCAGTAAAAAGTTCAGAGTTAGCTCCCTGGCCATCAGGAAAGACGGTAAAAGAGAGAGAAATGGGTTCTGGGTTCTCCCTTGCTAGTATGCAGAATGCAGCAGGAAGGTTGAGGCAGGGTCTATCTGAATTCAGAAGAATTGGGTCGCCCGTTTTTACCTCTCCCTGGTCAAAGAATAAGCACCCATTTCTTAAGAGGTGTTTTCACCAGAACTTCGTGGAAACACCAGTGGTCAGAGAGTAAAGACAGATGCTACCTCCTGGCGGATGCGATAAGAAGGAGTCTGTTTCTATCTCTCTGAGTGTTAAAACTATACCCAGAAACAGAAAGCAGAAACTGCCGGTCCTGTCTCGGGCCTTCCAGGGATTAAGACTCTTAGAATCTGAGAACCTGAGTGCTCTAGGAACTGCGGAGGTAGAGGCACCACACCTGGCAAACTCACAAGGGCGGAGCTGGGGCGTCCTTACCCAGCAAGACCAGATTCCTATGCTTTTCCTGCATGTGTCCCCGAGGAGGGTGCCGCTGCCCCCACTGGGTGAGAGCTTCAGCCATATCCCCGATGAGCACCGACTTCTGAAAAAACAAACACATTCATGCTCACCAAGGGACTTCCTTCCAGAAGCCTCTGAGAAGGACTCAGACTAACAGCATAGAAGGAAGACAAGCAGGGCAGCAAGGTCTCTTCCAACACTGAGATTCTCTGGTGTATAGTCATGCCCCCATATCTGTGGGAGACACATTCCAAGACCCCCAGTGGATGCCTGAAACCACAGACAGTACCAAACCGTATATAAAGTTTTTTTCCTATACATACATACCTTTCACTTAAAAGAAATACTTTATGGCTTCTCGTTGGCATATCTGAATCTCAAGCATCACTATTCCTTTGCTTTGGGGCCATTATTAAATAAAATATAGGTGATTTGAACATAGGCACTGCGATACTGTGACAGTTGGTCTGAAAACCGAGATGGCTACTCTAATAGGTGGGGATCATATATAGTGTAGAGATGCCTGACAAAGGGCTGATGCACATTCTGGGTGGGATGGAGTGGGATGGACAGCATGAGATTTCATCATGCTACTCAGAAGAGCACACAATTTAAAATTTATGACTTGTTTATTTCTGGAATTTTCCACTTAATATTTCTGGACCATGGTTGACCCCACGTAACTGAAACTGCAGAATGTGAAACTGTGGTTAAAGGGGGATGACTGTATTTGCAGCCACAGACTTGCTCCTTGCCTCCATGCATCAGGACTGCATGTCACCTGCAAGTAGGAAAGAAAGCACCTTTGACATAAAACCTAAAGGTAACAAGTTATTAGTTTATGTACCAATAAAGTAGATTAGAGAACTATAGAAATCCTTACTATTTAGACATGGGAAAGTGGAGAAAATATAATTACTAATGAAAATATAATTATAATTTCCTTATGGTATGCTTTTGAAATATAAAGAAGTTCAAGAAATATTAAATATTTTTCTCTCTAGTTTTCCTTAGAGAATAAAATCAGTCCAATATATATTAAACATTCAGATGTTTGCTACATGTCACAAAGATTTACTTGTAAAACAGTATCTCAAACCCAAATTATTATGCAAGGTCCCAAACGCTCTTACCATTTCTCGTAGTGGTCAGATGGGTAGAGCCTCGCCCTGCCTCAATCCCACCATACACAACTGCCCTGGCATTCTCTGTGCTCCAGCTGCTGGCTGCCTTTCAGCTGTCTGCAGTGTGTGCCACGCTCCCTTTGGCCCCTTTCCACGTGCTGCTTCCTGTTCCTGAAAGCTCTCCATACCTAGTCTTTTAAGCTATTTTAATCCTGCTCATGCTTCACATCTCAGCTCAGATGTCACCTCCTTCGAGAAAGCCTTCTTTGATCCTCTGGGTGGTAGCACCAGGCCCCTTCCTTTCTTTTGGCTCACACACACCCTGAAGGGACTCTCTGATCAACATGTCTATCCCACTCGGGGAAAGTTCCCCAAGAGCAGAAACCAGGCCTGTAATTGCTCGCTGTAGTGGCATGAGCAGCTGGCACAGAGCAAAAGCACAGCGAACATTCATCATACAGCTGAAGGAAGGAAGGAACACTTGAACAAGAATGAGCAGGAAAAGTTTAAATGAGGTGTTCTATAAAGTGTGCATGGAAATGGAGATGGGGAGGGGAACAGAAGTGTAGCAAACACTGAAAACATTGTAGGAACATTCACTCCAGCCTAACCTTGACCGATGACAGGCACAAGGTTTAGACTGTCTATTCAAATGTGGGTGAAAGAACAGGGTGGGTAATGCTCCTTTGAATTTGCTTATTGTAGATAAGACAAATATCTAATAATTTTTCTATTACGAAATGTCTATACAACTTCAATTTAAATGAGACCCATTAAAATAGACCAGTCCCTGAGATACTAGCAAATGAATCAGTCTTACTCCTCTTGGAAGCATCACTGTCACGACAGCCCCTGAACATATGTATGAACATAATGGTTAATTTTGTTTATATCCAGCATTCTAACGTTTATGATATAACCCTTCAAAAACAACTGGTAAAATAATTCATCTAATGAAATAAAGTTAAAAGAACTACCTACTTTGAAAATCCTCTACTCCAAATAACTTAACTCTTTATTCTAATACTTGAAGTATGAACTCACTACTCTTTATGGTCCCTGAAGGCCAAATGCCTCAGCGATGATCAACACAAGCAAATGCAGCATGTTCACCTTGTGGGGCCTCTCCAGACTTCCATGGGCCTTCTTTGCCTTTGGAATAACACCCACTGGAGATTTACCTGCGGACTGCCTACGACATATGCCAACTTCCCTCACCACAGTCCAGCTCACTCCACAATGACACACACACCCCTTGAAGACCTCCAACTCTCTCATAACTTGGGAGACTTTTTTTGGCCAAGCTGTTCCCTCTCTCAGAATACTCCTGTATTCTATTTTCCAACTACCTACTGTCCCTTGTTTTTCAAAGTGCAACTTTTATCCCAGTATTTTTTTCCCAGATACTCTAGAGGATGAAAACCTCTTCTATGACCTATTATACCTTGTCTGTACCAGTCATTTCTGCATTTTAAAAAAACATATATTTCTTCTCATTGTTGAATTATTTTATCTATATCTGACTTCCTCAGTAAACTTCATAGACAGGGGCAACTGGCTTTTATATCTTTGTTCCTCCACCACCAGGCCAGTCACAGAGCTAGAGAGCTCTAAGTGTGCATGAAGCTCTAAGTGGCTAGTGAAGCAATGCCGGGAGGGAAAGTTCTGCACAGATGAGGAGCATTTACTGTGAGGTCCACCACACATCAGTTCATCGGAGTGCAACCAGTGGGCTAGGAATCAGGGCTGAGTAATTCCATAACTATGGAAGAAACCATACCCATGCTCTAAGAACATAAGAAAAAAAGAAAAAGAGGAGTAATCTAGACCCACCTGGGATGCAGGGGTCAGCAGCACAGTGGTCACACCATTTTTTGGGTTTCCAGCATGGGGAAGGTCAGAATCCTCAGAAAGAGACCCTACAAGAGACAGGAGCCATGATGATTTCTCGTGCCTCTCAGTAAACTCGCAGAAACTGCCATACACAGCCACTTGTCACCTAAGAGCCAACCCAGGGAACCATGGGACAACCCCATAATGTCCCAGACAACCGTGACCAAGGCTGTCTCAGGCTCCTCCGCCCTTAAATGCCAGCGGAACTCCGCTATGAGGATCTGGACACATAAGTTAAACACATGTCTATCTGCCATCTGCTGAGTGACAGTCAAAATAGTACTCAAAGTGTCTGTGTCAACCTGAGACTCACTTAATGACTCGTTTCTGTTCTATTCCAAGCTCACTGGATGCACGGAGACTAAATTCTTTTTGAACATTGGCTTTTCAAATACAATACTGGCTTCCTCAGGAAAGCGATGGGTTGGTCTTGCAGGCGGAAAAAAATCCAAGATTCTCAACAAATCCTGTGACTTCTCAAATTCTGACTTTCCCCATCTGCCAAATGGGTCTAATACTCTTCCCATCACCCCCTGGGGTTCCCGTGAGGACAAAAGGAAGTCGTTGTCCAGTCAAACTGTCAGACCTGTCAATGTGGGGATAAGGGAGGCTTGCACCATGCTGCAGGCCCGCAGGCACTGCAGGTAGCGGCTCCCCCTCCTGGAAAGGGCTCTCCCACAGAAGAGAGACGCTTCACCTTACCGAGCCGGCCCGGATGGAGGGCTGCCCGTCTCCTTCTATCCCTCCAGCAGGCACCGCGCCGCATCCCTCCAAAATTCTCACCTCTGCCCCCACGCTCCATGGCGCCTCCCTCCCCGGCCCGCACAGGAGACTCCCGCCACGGGACTCAGGGATCCACCGCTCTGTCCACCAAGAGGCCCGGGTAGGCGCGTGACCCTTGCTAGGCCGCACGGCGCCCCCCCACCCGGGGGGCCTCCTGCCGCCCTCCGTCCAGCCACGCAAGCTTAGGAGGACCTGCGCTCAGCCCGCCTGGACTCCAGGCTAGACCTCACGCCAGACGCCGAAGAAGCCGGGCGGCAACAGAGGCGCCTGGGAGCCGGCGGGATCAAGTCGCGCCGCCCGAACGCGTGGTCGAACTACACCTCCCAGAACCCTCGGCGCGGCATGGTGCATCACCGGACGCCGCGTCCCACAGGCCCTCGCGGCACGTGCGTCAGGCAACCCTCCGCGGTCTGAGCAGTGTCTCCCGCGAGGACGCTGGTTGGTCCCCGGCCTGGGGCGTTTGGTCTCTCGGGAAGACCTTTCCCAGGCAACCGGAGAGCCCCCCCTTCCTTGAGGCCGACTCTTGGCTCTGGCCCCAGAAGATGCCCCCGGCCACGCCAAACCGCTCCTTGCTTGGGACCATCACTCCCCATAGCTGGACCCCGCTGAGGGCGGCGCCCCCACTCCCAGCGGTCCCCCCTCAGCTGTGTTCGCTCGGAGGGGAGACCCCTTTATCGCACCTTTTACTGCGCGTACCGGTGGGAATGGAGACTACCTCATGTAGCGCGGGATGTTTATTCCAGCTGCACCTTGGAGTAAGGACAAGTACAATCTCAGTCCCGTAAATCACCGCAATACAGAAACAGCCAGGTCCCCGCTGGTCCGGCTGACCTCCAGGAGCCTGGAACCTGCAAGTCCTGCCGACTCCCACCAGCTCGGGAGCCGCTGGCCGGGGTAGGGGTGTATCGTTAGGCTAGTGCATGCTCTCGCTTGTCTTCCCACTATAACCAATTTCCTATTCAGCTCAAATTCCCAATCAAATTAGCCTGACTCTCCGTGTTTGGATACAGGTCGCAATGTCCGTTTGTCCTTTCTCTAATAGAGTCCCCACTTTTCGCTAGGCCTTGCGCTTCCCAGAGTAAAGGTTACATTTCTCATCACCCCTACCTCTTGCCAGAGGGATGAAGGAAAAGTGATTCTTAAAG